ACCGAAACTGTAAAAAAACACCCAGTAATTGGTCCTATCTTGAACCGAACCGAACACGGTTTTACCGCAAAATCCAGACATCCAAAATCCCGAAAACCATAATTCCGACGTGACAATTAATATTTAAAGATTATCAGACTTTAAATTTTAATTGTCACGTTGAACCCCTGAATACCTGAAGGTAATGAGGCCGTTTTTTTCTTTAAAATTTACATGAGGAAAAATTTGGTTGACTGCAGAAATCAATTTGAAAAATCTCAAGAACGAGAGCAACAACCCCTTCTTAATTCTGTGACAAAATGCATGCGGTCATGTTGCCACGAAAAAAATGTATTTACAATTGTGGTCTGTCAATCCAATGATGAGAAATTAGCAATTTTGGAAAAATATCATGAAAAAGAATACAAGAGAGCAGTTACGCCCTCGCACTCGTACTCCCTTAATCTCTTGGAGTTAGATTATGATATTTTTTATATTTGATAGAACTAACATAACAGGACTAATGTAATTTCATGAAAAAGGAACAAGCAAGAAATACTGAAATACGTATTAAGAAAATGTTGAACAAAAAAGGAAACTAAATATGGAAGTATGAATAGTGTTATTAAATGTTTTTATCAATTTTATTAAAGAATATTTGTTATTAAAAAAAAAAAAAAAAGTAGTAACATAAAGAATTATACATGATGAAACTTATTATAATAATAATTATTATTTACCAAGACACCTTGATATTCGGTTTTAAGTAAACTTAACTAATTAGAACAAGATTCTTTTTATGTATAATTACAACATTAAATTATTGAAATTTTACTTTTTCCTAAAGTTCTATATACATATCGTGCAATTTTTACAAAGCTTCAAAATACTATTTTGAGGAACTTTATTCTATTGCTTTTCATATATCTAATCATGAAATTTGATTAATTGGTAAGTGGAAAGGAAATGGGCCTCAGGCTCATAGTAATTTTTATACAGTTATGTTTTTATTATAATTTTTACTATGATCTAACACTTATATATGCCCTGACTGATATAATGTATACACATGATACATTCTTTTATCATATATTTTCAAAAGTGCATCTTAATGATTTCGGATAAAAGGATTGTCCTCCCGTGTTTCAAAGAAAAAAGCTTTTATTCTCTTTGTCATCAAAGCGAATTTGTTATTTTCTCAAAGAAAAAAAGCATGCATATTCTCTTTGTCATCAGAAAGAATTATATTATTCTTTTTGTCATCAGAGTGAATTATATTATTCTTTTTGTCATCAGAGTGAATTATATTATTCTTTTTGTCATCAGAAAGAATTATATTATTTTTGTTGTCATCAGAAAGAATTATATTATTCTTTTTGTCATCAGAAAGAATTATTTCATCCACTTGGTTATCAGAGTGAATTATTTCATCCACTTGGTTATCAGAGTGAATTATTTTATTATCATTTTCTATTACTGGCTGTTTTGTAGGGTTTTCCTCTTCAACTAATAATTCATTCATCTCGGTATTTTCTTGAACTGGTTCAATCTCGGACTCGGAAAGTTTCTCCATTTTAATGCGGAAAACTTCTTCATCCACACATAATAAGTCTTGAGGATCATAAGTGAGTTTATCAAGGCCGGTAGGAGGACAAACAGAAATTTTCAAATGTAATTCACGTCCACGTTCAATTAATTCTTTTGTTGATGTAACCTTTCCCCAAAGATCCATGGTTGGTAAATCTTTAAAATCTGGTAAACGACCATTAGGTAAACCTTCCAATAAAGTATCCTCTTTCATTAATGGAAGTTGAAAAACATCACGTCTTTTTCCTTCTCTGAGATGATTGTGAACACCTATTTCAGCATGATTAGTGGAAAAACTAATTGAATCCTTATAATTAGGATAGAGCATTACGTAACCACGAAGATAAGCAAGTTCTATAAAGAAACGTTTCCAAGAATGTTTCCAACGATTTGATCTACTTCCTGGTACAGTTATATTCTGTAACTTAAGACCCTCAACATCATTTAATCTAGCATTTTGATAAACACGAAATTCACGCCATACTTCAGGGAAATATATGGCACCCCAACTACAAGG